TGAAATTTAGGAACTTCATATTTAATGAGTATAAATCGATTAAAATCTTTATCTATATAAGATCTATTTCTTGGGATCTGCATTCCCAATTACTCTTCAAGTTGATCTGGTTCCTCCTTTCAAAGACTGACAGTATACGTTAATGTAATGTTAACCTAAAGTGTTTCGATTCTCAAATTCAAATGCCGTGTGAAAAAGAGTATCTATAGCAATTCCCAGATATTTCAAATGCATACATTGATTATAATATATCTTTAATGTAATATAATATTTTTTAAATGCAGCAAATTTTTAACTTACGTTGAGTTTAATAATTTATTTATAGTTCATGTTAAAAATATTACAGTACTTAAAATGTAGTGTTCAGCATTTTCGACAAATTAAATCATGTGACCACAAAATACACGACAAAACGATAATAGAGTAAATAAGCATGACAATTGAAAAGCATTAATTTAAGTCAAAATTCATAATCCAAATACCACAAAGTGAATAAATAAAATAATCAAAAGACTATACAGTGTATATTGAATGACGTAAAATGTCTTTTCTCCCACACTGATTCATCGAATGCAAATTCTTAAGTTTATATGAAGTACATAGACGTATGATTTATGTAGAATGATATTGTAACAATCAAAATTCCATATATAGATTTGTTAAGGGGACAATATGCGATGGAACTGAAATTGACTGGAACATAAACATACAAAACGAGTATGGCATCTATGGGTTTTACGATCAAGTGCGCTCTCGTCATTTCGAGACAAGACCTTTAATGATACCCATAATTACTCCTTATTGCACATACGGTATGGAAGCTAAATATAGTAGCATGTTTTACAGACTTATAATATTCCGATTCAATTAAAGACATTCTATAACTTAATATATTTCGTTCCAGAATAAAATTCAAACATTTTTACAAACCTACAAAAAGCTGTATAATAAATTACCAGAATTAATTCGACTATTATATCGTATTTCGTGCAATTGTTAACATGCAAACTTTCTGAAGTATAGTATTATAATATGCAAATAAAATTCTTTAAACAACTTTGTCAGAATTGTTTCTAGATTCTTTTTTAAATTAACTTGTGAAATATGTTTAAAAGTTGAAAAGAATGATTTTTTAAGAATACAATATGACCGAGTATGTAGAGTTGTTTCATTGTAAAAGAGACGACAAAGCCATACCAAAATCGATGATGTGTATATATGCCGTAGATGCCAGCGGTTACATGACTGGATGCAGATCTGGAGATCACTTACAACATTGCGGTAACGAGTATAATTATCTAAGTTATTAGTTTATTGTGTGTAACTTAACATGACTTGTAAAATATTTATATTTTACAGCAGATATATTGAATACTTCTTACTGTTTGACAAGTAGTAATATCATTTTGAATACATTCCTTTCATTAGACAATAAAATTATCAAGCTATGTTTTTATTGATTTAATTGTATCAAAATTTTACAAAAATGATTTTAAAACTATATCATAATTGAAAGATTTTTTGTCAAAAAAATACTTTCCTAAGTGAGTCATAAATGCATGAGTATGCGAAGTATATATTACATATTTACATGCACATGTTCAATTGATAATAGATAAAAAACAAAATGTAGAATTTTTGTGGATACACCAGCTTAACACTTCCAATTGAAATGTCTTGCTTTGTTGTAAAACATTTTTTTAGTTTGTGTCATATAAAAAGACAATATTTTCTTATCTCCATATGCAAATAATGAACTGTGCAACTGTCTGATTTCATGTAATGAGGGTCGTTAACAGAGAACTGGGCTAAAATTTAATTCTGCATAAAAACCTTATTGTCATTTAAAGGGACACTTTTTTGTATGTGTATTAATGCATAAACTTCTTTAAGTATTTTGTATCACTGTAAGTATTAAAATAGTAATATGGCAGAAAATTCTGCCCATTTCTCCTCCATAAAACTTAACCTCGCCAGATCACACGACCCGCTTTGAAAATTCAACATGAACATTTGTGTGTTTTATAATTGTTCTTCTTTTTTCCACTTTAAATTCGAGAAAAAAAACTTTTGTTATAATTTTGCTGCAATTTCACAACTGCGCATATCGAAACAAGTGTTCTTCATTTCGGCCTTTCTCTCGGTATATAGTTCATAGCTGTGTTGTAACTTCTTTTATTTGCAGACATTTACCTTACTTGTAAGTCCTGAACCTAAATTAAATATATAAGCGCTTCACAATAAGAAAAGTAGGAAGGATAGTAAGCGAATGAACAGTTTTACAGCCAGTACATTTTCATACTGTCTGTCAGTATGGTAATTGTTTTACTAGTTTACGGAGACGTGCCAACCAAGAGATCATAGAAGTTTACTCATATTTCAAATTCGCTGTTTAAATAAAAAAGAACAGTTGAAGAAAATCGAAATATCGCTTAAGGTAGACCACCCCTAATGCATAACCTCCACTTTGAAAAGTATTCAAATAGGCTAGAAACACTGTCAACTGTATTGAAATTCAGATTCGAAGCCCCAGAAAGGGATTTTTATCTGTCTTTCTTTTTTTTTCATTTTAACAATATGTATCTCTCAGATTCCTTATGCAAAGGAAAAGTGTTAGATTTTAATTATATAATTATTGTAGGTATTTATTTGCTAAATAATGCCAAATATAATAGCAATTGTGATACCAGATATTTTTTAAGTTAAATAATTGAAAAATAGAAACTACACGTAAAAGTATTTTATATTTTGCAAGATCAACCCATAAACGTTTAAAAAGATTGAGGCAAATTTTAAAATGAGCCCCTCATTGTGGTAAATTTTAAGGATATTTTGAATAATGCTTTTTACATAGGGAAATGGTCAAATAAATGCTTAAAATGGGTGGGATCGTTAATATTTTCATACATATTAAAAACATTTTGTTTAGATACAATCATTTTGCTCATGTCATTTGTATCTGATTGGTATTAATTATGTCTTAACAATAAGCAATAGGAAAACATATTTCTTCATGTTTATATTTTAGATTATTTAGAGTTTCCTCATTTCTGAAAAAGAGCCCTTCTAGATGCAAAGTTTTAGTTCAAAATAATGTTCATAACTCATAAACAACAAGCAAATTTTGTTCAAATTTTGCATGCATAAGACATAGAAATTTTAGGCATATAACTCACCTATTTTGTCAACTTTATGATTCTTTATATTCTTTTTATTTCTTAAAAGCATGCATATTTTAATATTTTTGCTTTGAAATGATATACATTTTAGAAAAACATACTACGAAATCCTTCATCTAGGCTATAAATAGTATAACGTAACAGTGTGATAAAAATTGAGAAACAAAAAATACTGCTTTTGTTTTAACATAAGTCGTTATTTGGGGCAATAAAAATATTTATTATATGATCTAAATATAGCTGCAGTCTCATTGGTCCAAACAGTAGTCAACAGAAGTTTTCATAAAAATCATATTCATTGGGTGTAGTATCATATTCACTGGCTGAATTGGATTTTCCAAGTTTTAAGACTCATATTCAATGACCATGTACACCGATGGCTGTAAATTACACGTTTTGATTAAAAAAATAATAGTTGCGTTTTGTTCTTTATGACAAATTTTTCGATTTGTTTTTTTCGATTAAATATCATTACTTTATTAGTATACTTAAAGGCTACTCCGCAATGATGAGTATAAACTTGAATTACTTTTGTATGTGCAGGGTTCGCGTAGTCGCTGCACGCCTAACACGTGCGTCTTTTTCCCGCGCTTCAACGAGGCATTTTTTTACATGTTTATAAAGTTGTAATTTTTGTGATTTTTTTAAAATTCTTAGCCTATTCATATAGTAAAACAATTATTCCCTAGTGAGCCATTGAATATGATGTAATATTCACCGACAAAAAGTCATTTTGACCTCGGCTATCGCCTCCGTCAATATGTCATCTGCTGGTGAAATCACACCATATTCAATGGCTCACTAGTCAATAATTGTATAATAATATATGATTGTTATACATTATTAAGTTTTATTGGACGAGTACACAGCTTTCAAAATTATATTGGATGGGAACTAACCGAGTCTGATACAGGTTTTGCAGTACAACTCCAATAGAATCAATTGATCTGTACAATATATAATTACACCATTATTTCACACCATCATTTTTTTTAACATTTAAACAAATTTGTATTCCTTCAACTGCAATAAAGATTTCATATGATTATTTTCACTCTGATAAAGAGTTTGTTTTGAACTCTTAAATTCAAACGAGGCTATATGGGTATGATATGCATTTAGATTTAATACAGTATGTTTGGACTCTTGAACATAAAACGAGATTCAGTTGATAAGATTTGATATAAGAAAGACTGATATAATAATGATTGATATTAGAACATCACATGGTGCAAACGCTGACAGTTTATTGGATACATTTTATGAGGTGTTACATAAATGTTTTTTATTACATCAAAACATTACATTGATTTTAAGTTAGGTTGAAAATGATGAGAGCTATACCATCATTCACATATGTTAAACCATTAAAGTGTAATGTTAACTTTTACACTAAATAATAATAACATAATTTTTGCTTAATAATGTTTGGTTGTTTTTTTTAATTTGAAGTGTACAAGTGTGAAATGAAAATACTTGTTTAAAAAGTGTATAATTAAAATATGTAAATATACATGATATGTTATTTGTTTGACAGTGTGTATTTATTAAAAGTGCTGGTAATGATACCTAAACTTTCTTAAAACTGCAGTACCGAGCAAAAATCTAGTACTGGTACTGGTAATGGTACTAAACCGTAAGTCCTGAGACAGCTCTGCATGCTACATACCTTATGTCTGGAATTCTTTAACATTTTATTCTACTTCAACAAAGTAAAACAGTTACTTTTCAGTAATTCATCACTGAAGAATATGATATTAATTTTAATAATTCACAATGAATTGCTCAATATTGTCCGAGTCATTGGAAAAGCATTTGATTTTCAGAAAATTTCACCTGTCCAGCAAATACAGTCAAATGTCCAGGAAGTTACTGTATTGAACAACGATTTCTTTGTGACGGACATTCTGAATGTCCTGGAGGAGAAGATGAACAAGACTGTAGTAAGCTATTAAAAATCTATAATTTGTTTAACTCGTTCTTTTGATATTTTTCTTCGTTTAATGAATGTCAATTTAACAGTTTACTAGTCGTGGATTGTTATGTTAATAAAGGGACAATTATATATGGATAATTTTTACATTCTATCAGTAAGATTGTCGCTTACACATACCGTCCGGATAACTATGTTGAATGCAACAGAATCAGCTACAGTAAATGTTGCACTAAACAGGTAAATAGCCCATTGCCATAAATACAAATCAGTCCATTGCTTTACCTACAGATTGGTAAATTGTCACACAAACAGATTATCCCATTGTAAAACCTACGTATTATCCCATTGTCATATCTACTGAGTATTCCATTGTCATATCTACAGAGTATCCCATTATCATATCTACAGATTATCCTATTACCATATCTATAAATGATCCCATTGCCATATATACAGATTATCCCATTGTCATATGTACATAATATCCTATTGTCATATATGCAGACTATCCCATTGTCATACATACAGATTATCTCATTGTGATATCTACAGATTATCCCATTTTCATTTTATCCGATTGTGATAAAAACAGATCATCTCATTGTTATATCTTCAGATTTTCTCATTGTCATATATATAGATTATCGCATTGTCATAAAAACACATTATCCCATTACCATATCAACAAATTATTCCATTGCTATATCTACAGATTACCACATTGTCAAACATACATTGTATCTCATTGCCATATCTACAGATTATCTCATTGTCATATCTACAGTTTATCCCAGTGTCATATCTACATATTATCCCGTTGTCATATCTTCAGATTACCCCTTTGTTATATCTACAGATTATCCCATTGTCATATCTACAGATTATCCCATTGTCATAACTACAGATTTTCTCATTGTCATATATAGGGATTATCGCATTGTCATAAATAAAGATTATCCCATTATCATATCAACAGATTATTCCATTGCTATATCTACTGATTATCACATTGTCATACATACATAATATCTCATTGTCATATCTACAGATTATCTCATTGCCATATCTACAGATTATCTCATTGTCATATCTACAGTTTATCCCATTGTCAAATCTACAGATTATCCTATAATTGTCATATCTGCAGATCATCCCTTTGTCATATCTAAAGATTATCCCATTTCATTCTACAGATTATCCCATTTATATATCAACAACTTATCCCATTGTCATATATACAGATTATCCCATTGTTTTATCTACAGATTATCTCATTGTCATATCTTCATATTATTCCATTATCATAACTACATATTATCCAATTTATATATTTTACAGTAATCAAACCAACAGATTAGTCCTTGGCCATGCAATTGTTCACCTTCACATTAGACCATTGTTATACCTGCTGAAAAATCATTAATTTTATGTTTGGCAATGATATCGGTCATTTGGTTTAGACTTGCCTCATGATATGTTCGTATATATATATTGTTTTTTAATCTAAATCATACTTTTAAATTACTTCATTGATATGATAGATTTATACACAAAGAATATTGAAAGAGTGTAGATTTAATACTAAATTTATTGGACTTGTAAAATATAATCTTCATATGCGAGTCTCTGGCGAGAATTTAATTTTTTATTTAAGAAATTCCATAAATTTCTTATTGAATCTTCACGACTTTAATATTCTTTTTATCACATAACCAAAAAAAAGATTGATTTGCAGTTAAAATGTGTAATTTGTCACGGACGCGCCTAAAATGTAACGCTCACTAACTATATGTTTGAATTCAACGCAAATTACGTCACAAAAGAGTGTGATTACACAAGAGTTACATCGTTTTGATTACTACATGGCTTAATTAATCTCCTACGTTGCGGTTTATGTGACAATTTACTTTACTTTGTTGGGATCTAAGTACTTTGTATTCTAAAATTGAAAAAAAATGATGTAACAAGTAGTTTAGTTAAACATGCAAATTATAGCATTTTAAAATTCTAGACATTTTTAATAAAAGTTGGTATTCCACCTCTATATCTAGGGATAAGTGTTAGAATAATGTTTCTGTTTTTCAATAATAATATAAATAAAACTTCGCCCCACGACCCCGCCACGCGAAAAGCCGTGAAATGACAGGTAGAAATGGTTTGGAAGCGGAGCGAACACACGCTAATAAGCGAATTCACTGGAAAAAAGTTGTATTTATTTAATATAATATTGAATTCTGAAATCTCGCTGTGCGCCACCGCGGGCGAAGTTTTATTTAATTAACTGCGCCCAGCGTCCCCGCTTATAGGCGTGTTTTCGATCGCAATTTTAACTTGCTAGTCCTAGACTTTTTGCATGGCGCGGCCAAGATGAATGGCACCAATCAGCCACCTTAGCAACGTCCAAATCCAGTCAGATCCTTTAGTCAGAATTGAAAAATCGGATCCCAGAAATATATCAAAGCCCCGAAACTTAAAGCTACGTAAAATGATCGAAAAAAAACCCTTTAATCAGTGTTTTTCTTCAGTAATAACTAGAGAAAAAGAATAAAATATAGAAATTACATCGTTAAGTGCTTTAAGGTATTAGCACCCTAATGCATTACTTCCGCTTTGAAGAGTATTCAAATAGGCTAGAACTACTGTTAACTACATTAAAAATGAGGGGCCGTTGGTTCAATCCCCAGAAGGGTCAACTTTTTTTTCTTTCTTTTTTTCTCTTAACATTTTTTTATGTATCTCTCATGTCCCATTTGGAAAGAAAAAATTGTTTGATTTAGATTTTTTAATTTATATAGGTATTTATTGGCTAAATTATGCTAAATCTAGTAATAAATATGGTACCTGATATTTTCAATGTGTAATAAAATCAAAACTAGATGGTAAAAGTATTTCATATTTTACAAGATCAACCAATATACCTTTTTAAAAATTTAGGGAAACTTTGAAAACAGTCACTCATTTTGGTAAATTTTAAGAATTTTTTAAAATAAGGCTTCTTAAGTAAAAAAAATGGTCAGACATGTGGTAAAAATGGGTGGTGTAGGGTTACATTTTAATATAGATTTTATAAATTTTAAGTCGACACCATAATTTTGCTTATGAGGATTGTTAGCTGAATGGTAATATTTGTTTCTTACCAAAAATTAATGGGAAAACATTTTTCATTAGAATGTTATTGCAGATTATTCAAAGGTTCCGCATTTCCAAAAAAGGGCCCTCATAACATCCTAGCACGAGTTCAGAAAAGTTGACATAACTTGATTTCCGTACGTAACTTGATTTCCGTACGGTAAACTTTGTTTAAATTTTGCATACAGGTGTACTTTAAGGTATACATCTGACCTATCATGTCATTTTTTTAATTTCTGATAGTGCCCATTAGGGTCCTTATACCTTAAGTACTTAATTTTATAATGCTTTCTAGATTTTCTGATTTTTTTATTAGATAGCGATGATAAAAGAGTGAATGACTAAACATAATAAAGTAGTTTAGTGTTATTATTTACTTCTTCAAAAGATATAAAAAATGCATTCTATAATAATTCGGAAAATGAAAGAAATTGAAAGTGTTATTTTTTCTGAATAAGAAACAAATGTTGTGGAAGTTATTTACTTACACCTGAAATTTTTATAGATTATTAACAAATTATTTCATCACTTTTTAGTGAACGTTTAAACCGATATATCCAGAAAGTTGGACTACAGGTATTGTGATACATGTACCATATGACCTAATTAATGTTGCTTATTTAAGAGTTATTTGTTATAGAGGTAGAGGTATTACTCCTACTAATATTTTCTTTCCAAAAATGATTTTAATAATTTTAAATAAAACACTTGTCGCAAAATAATTGTAAATAATTCAGTCGAATGAGAATTTGGTTTATGAAAGAAAAACACACTGTTGGTTGGACTTTGTTTTAAAACTGTAATATCAGTAGGATATTATTATGTTATGAAAAGATGAAATGTAAATAGGTAAATTGTTATTGTAGAATTTCAAAAGTCGTTTGACCCCGTATATAGATATAATATATGGCTTATGGTGCATCATAAAAAAACTAATTTCTTACGGTCTTGTATGAGCAAGTAAAAGCATGTGTCAAAGAAAATGGCTATTTATCTAATTATTTTGACATCATTTAGTACAAAGCAGGGAGAAGCATTATCATCTCTATAGTTCCTGGGTTTGTTTGTTTATGCTATGCGTAATCAGGCAGAGACATTTCTATTGTTTTTTGCAAATGGTTTACAGCATTTGATGAACAAACTACAACACCACTATGCTCGATGGTATTTTATAGTTAATACATAAACGGTTGTTATACTTTGCAAAAAAGGTAAAAGGAATGAACATTTGATTCTATAATACTCACAATGAATATTATTAAACTATTTACATCATTAAGGGTTTCTTTGTCTTCAAATGGAACGTTTTATCTATCAAAGCAGTGAGTTTTCACTTTATTCAATAGATGTATGTAAAAGGCCTCTTCCCAATCGATTTTTTTCTTTAAAATCATATAGTTACCAATTTTGCAATTTAAGCAATAATATTTACCCAAACTGAAGAAGCTTAGGCTCCTTCCAAATTAAGTGAAAAATACCATTGCACAGCAAGCGTCATCAAATCAGTTAGACAAACCGCTATATTCACTTAATGCCATGTTTGATAAAGTACCAATGGATATCTCTGAAAAGATCTGTTTGTTTGATGCTATGGCATTATCAATCTAAAAATACCACGAGAAAAATTTAACTGACATAAATAAGTGCAGAAGATTTCTTGAAACAAAAGGTGAAAAAAAGAGAGATTCATCAGATTACTGTTGATCAACTTGATTCATATTTAGCAAACATAATTTTGTCTATAAAGAAAGCAGATGGTACTGAATATGAACCGAGTTCTTTACGTAACATTATCAGTAGCATTGACCGAAAACTTAAGAAAAATAAATATCCATTTCTCATAATGAGAGGAAATTGCCAACAATTTTTGATTATATGCCTTCAAGGCCAAACAAAAATGTCTAAAAAAAGTTGGGAAAAGGTAATAAACCACGGGTTGCATCGTCACTCTCCGACAAAGAAGTCGATCAAATGAATATCAAAGGTGTACTTGGTGCCATGGCACCAACTACATTACTCAACACTGTTTGGTGGAACAATTGCCTTAATTTTGGAATTAGAGGGACAACAGAGCAATATAATCTCAGGTTGGAATGTTTGTTTAATTATCATAATTACTTTAATTCTGGATTAAAAATAGAGCTGTCATTGATTCAGATGATACCGTACATTGACATCTGGTGACAAATATCGGCAAAACAATGATATTTTATTATACTCATTTACGATAATTACTTTGTTATAAATGTCCTTTGCATGTTTTTTTTTCTGAGCATTTTTTTGACATCAACTGATATGAAATGTGTCCATTATGTAACAACAGCTTGGTATAATTGTTATGGCCTCCTGCTTTTTTATATGTTCAGGTGATATTTCATAATTTGCAGACATTTAATAAATAAATTAAAATAATTGATTTTTCAAATACCGTATTATCTCTATTTAACACCTTGGGGTCTTGCTTTTTTTAAAAGGCACTAATGGGAACTATAAAAATGTGCTATAGCTTGAAACAATATGTTAGTTAATATCAATTACTGATTGACAGAAAAAATATCAACGCCAATTTCGATGACAGCTCTATAAACCAAAGAAAATATAATATTACCAATTTTATAGTCAAATATTTAAAAAAAAAATATTATTAATTTGCTAAAACATAGTCCAGATCAAAATAAATATATTCCAATTCATACTAAAATACTCAATAATAACAACAGGCTTCAAAAGCATTAATTATATGTAACATATTTTCGTATTACTAACATTGAGTTTCGCAATAAAATCTTCTATTTCCGTCCAAAAAATACATTATAATGAATGTCTAAACACTTATTATTTGACCGTTTCCAAACAAAATGTCTCGTGTATGACCAGAATCTGTCCCAAAATTGTAAAAAAATTGCCATTGCATTAAATGTTTATATTTTATAAATAAATTTTCATGTCCCGTCCATTCGTATCTAATCTTAATTTAACATACTAAGTAAATATTGGCTTAAAGAAGGCATCTGAAGTTTAATCTTATTATAATAAAATTTTTCAAATTCTAAAAAATACCTAAATAAAATATAACTTTCAATTAGTTCCATGTCATATTATTTTCAGATGGGGAGATATCAAACTTCAGAGGGTCTAGAGTATTTTTAAATTCAATAAACGCCAAACTAAAACCAGGAATGGCGAAAATGTATGTGATGTAAGGAAAGTCAGTCCCTGAATGTAATTAATTCCAGGTGATGATAGGGACCCTATTGAAATAGACAAAAGATACGCTGAAAAGCGCCCAGCAGCATGCATTTTTGATGAATCTCCATTTTATATTGCACCGATAATAATCCCTATCAACAGTAAACCTGATAGTCAATGCCAGTCGTTTGTCAACCAGAAAGTTGGTGTGAAGAAACTAGGAGGTCTTCTAAAAAAAGTGGCTAAAGATGCCGAGTTAAACCCAGATAAGAATATAACAAATCACTCTGCAAGAAAACATCTCGTTCAAAAGTTGAGAAATTCCAATATTGCACACACAGATATTATGACAATTAGTGGGCACTAACATGTTCAATCTATTTTAAATTATAGTGAAATTTCAGAAGAAAGGCAAATTGAGCGTCCTCAGTCCCCAATCCAACCTCTGGACCATCAGCTACAATTACACGATCAGATTCTCCATCGCCTTTAAAAGATCAAACTGGCACTGTTACAAATAGGTCATTTGAGTCCATTTCAATATCTCATTCTGCAATTTCAACGGAGTGACATGGCCAAATGAATCCTGTCCAAATCAGTTACCCAACCCACTCATCACAGCAGATTGCTTTATCCAGCAACAACCCGAATTCCATAATTTATGGCGCAGTATTGCATGTCAACAACCTGAATGTTAATTGAAGCCGGTAAATTCACTTTAAAAAATATAAACACTTGACAATGAACTGGTAAACTTTAAATTTCCAGTTTCCGTGAAATGAGCTGTTCAACGACATTTTCAAATCTTGTTTACTTTATGTTTTCTCATATCCTGTTCATTAATGTAACACTGATATGTCTCATGAAACGCTTGAACTTAAAACATGGCATAAGTCCGTCTTCATAAATTAGCAGACGCATTTTTGCCCACCCTCCTCAGAGATTGTTTAAAGATTCATTATATTTGCAAAAAGAGAGCAACAATAAACCTTAATTTCAGTCTACAATATGAAGTGATTAAAATTAATCGATGTGCTTGTTTCTATTGTATTGATAAATATGCAGAGGGCAACAACTTAGTAAATAATTAAAATAGTTAAGCTAGGACAGATCGCAAAAAAAAACTACACACAACTACAGACATCATGTGCATGTATGTTATATAATGTTGAGAAGGTGTATTTAGGAACTACGCGTAAAACCACTTGGATCTATTGGAACAAGAAATAAAAAAAATCAAAGCTTGTAGTAAGGGTCGTATTTTGGCAGCAAAAATAAGTCGACAGTATAAAAAATGAAATTTGTAATGAATCGTCCGACCGTGGTGTAACAACTGACCCGATTTTTCGTGAATCTGTGTTAATTTCAAATGCAATCAGAAATTAAATAGAATATGTGATCTTAATTAGTATTATTTTTTACTATCTGCTTAAAGAATGTGACATTCTGAAGTATTTGGTTTACTTTTATTTCTGTTTCATGAAATCTACTGTTGAGGCTTAGATATTAATACTTATTGTAAACAAATAGATCTGACTCTTCCGTTCTCAAAATCGTCTTACAGAGTATCAGAAAAACTCAGCAAATTATTTCCTTCAAGTGTATGTGTAACTACCTCAGAGTCTTTCTTATGATACTTTGTCAAATAACAATATTGTTGATATTTAAACAGGGATTAATGGCTGACGGGGAATACAGTGCATTTTGATTTTGATTCTAATTTCAGCGTGTGGAGACTCGGATAGAGAAGTAATCTTATTTGTGGAAAATGATGACTCTGAGAGCAGGGAAGCAGCAACGCTTTTAGCTAAACAATTTTTCACAAACCGTGAAAATAACATCGTAAGGTTGTTTTATTTTAAGATTCTGCATAGAGAAATGAAGTTTGACATAGATTATAGGTTATTGGAAATAAACATAGAACGTGTTACCGGAGAACACAAAACTAAGGAAACTGGATGCACATTTAAAACAATGGCAAGAGACTTTCTTAAAAAACTGCAGTTTTCCAAGCCAGAAAAAAGAGCGATTATTGTATTGGAAAACAGTATTGAATCATCAGTTGTCGCTAGCCTAGCATTATCCAATATTTCAGAGCCATCATTTTCAATATATCGGTTGATAAAAGATTTCAGTTCTTCACTTCATAAAGATAACAGATACAAATATGTAAAAGATATACACATCAGTAAATGGAGTTCTCTATTTTCGATTGGATTCAGACGATTTCCAGAAATATGTACAGGTAACAGCACCGTCAGCTTGATTCGTTCCTAAATACATTTAAGTTAAATCTATATAAATTATTACACCGTTTTACATTTTGAAAGATGCTTTTTTCGTTGATTTTAAAGAATATGAGGACATTTTTCGTTAGAATGAAATATGGAAAATATTTTCGCGAAACATGACAAAATGCCACATTTTTTACGAGTCGAGCATGAGTGAAAATATATACCATATTTCACAAAAAAATGAACAAAAATAACCTTTTTATTTTAATGTCATTATCAATGAAAAATTACGAATGGTTGCAAATGTACAGCGCGCAGTAATATATTGATATTTGTATTCATAGATGCGGATGCGGTTAACGTTTCAATACACATAAAATGTTGTGTGTTTATTCTATTTCATATTATATTTTTCATGAAAGTATTTATGGTAAAATAAATGTGAAATTTATTTAGTTTGCGGTCTTGAAATAGCGGTATTACTTTGAAGTTTCGTGCATGCGCTGTTTGGCGCTACGCTGTGACGTCAAATAACGACTCTTTAAAACGTCTGTATAGCGTTAATGACATAATTAAATATATTGGTGTTTGGATTTATTTTCATTGTTAGACCATTTTCAATCATTCTTGAATTTTTCAAAACAAAATTCAACAAACAATTGTTTTTTTTTTTTTTGTCAACCATATTTTTTCAAACAAAATGGCTTAAAGAGTACCATAAAATAAATATGAGTTTTGACTCCGCCCATTTTCATTCTATATTTCATATTTAGCTCTATCAAATAATTAAATCGGTAATACCTGACCATATCATAAATTTAACAACTAAGGAAAACATAGAAACTGTAATATAACTATAGTAACAACGATAATGTAGTCTTTGATGGCGATTTGTTTTAAAACACATGTGTAAAAATATATGTTCTTAATATGCCCGTTTCAGAGACTACAATCGTACCATGTGCTGGGAAGTACAGATGTTCGTCTAGTAAGCAATGTATACCACTTGAACAAGTATGTGATGATGTCATTCATTGCAAAAATGGTGATGATGAACGACTCGGTGATTATATATGTCCAGAGAAATGTAATTGTACGGGTGTTGTTATCAATTGTAATGCAACCAACATATCAATGTCTGATATTCGATTATTGAATGTACAGGCTATAAGTCTTGAGCTAAGTAAAAATCCAAAAATTAAAGAAATACATGAACGTACTTTAAGATTTCCCTACATGCTACGACTTAATATTTCATCATGTGGCATTCATAATATTCATGAAAGGGCTTTTTTTGAATTGAAACAATTGTTATCGTTAGATCTTAGCAACAATAGGATACTGCAATTACCTGATCTGGTATTTAGCAAGCTTCGCTATCTAGCCTTTTTGAATCTGGACAGAAATATAGAATTAGCAATAATTTCATCGACTGCTTTTAAAGATTTGAAATCTGTAAGAAGCTTAAACATTTCCGGCACAAACCTGAAAAAGATAAGTTCATTTACATTCTCTGGCTTGCAGTTGGACAGTATCGACATTTCTTACAACAGAATTGAGGAAATTGAAGATTTTGCCTTCAATGATACGCTTGTTCATAAAATTAACTTTGAAGGCAATAAAGTTATAAAATTCGGAGAATATATGTTAAACGGCGTAAGATCACTTCGGGAGCTTCATACACCTGCATTTAAATTCTGCTGTATCCGACCTTGTTATCTTCCTGAAAAATACTGCAAACCATCGGATGTATTTTCTTCATGTGCAGACCTGATGAAAAACTGTGTACTTCGAGCTGTCCTTTGGATAGTTGGGGTAGCTTCATTGCTCGGGAACCTCTCGTCAATTATCTACCGTCTCGTGTATGATCGTGAAAGGCTAAAAATAGGTTATGGCATATTTGTAACCAACCTAGCAGTTGCAGATTTCCTGATGGGTGTTTACCTCAGCATGATAGCAGTTGCTGATTCATTCTATAGAAACAGGTATTGATAAAGAACTTATTCACTATACAAACAAATATATTGATCACGTATACTATCGTGAAAGGCTAAATATATGTAAAGGCATATTTGTAACTAACCCTGTTAATACAGAATTACTAATAAGCGTTTACCTTATCATGATAACAATTGCTGATTCATTCTATAGACTATTTCATTTAAGACTGAATTCAAGTTGTCGACCTTGGATGACGTCATTTGGGGATACGGCGGACATTTTCCGGTACGATTAAGTACATTAAGAGAAGCATATCTTACTTTTGTAAGATGCGCAGATTGAAATTGCTAACATTATGTTAAATTGAATAAGATATTAAATAAAAAGATGAATAAAAATGTTTACCATGATAAGGTAAAACCCATTTTGTTAATTTTTTATAGGGCCAAAATGGCCTTTAGTTTCCAGATCAAGGGTTTACCCTTTTTTGGTTTTGATTTTTTAATAATGAAAAATTGGGGGTTTTGCCAAATTTGTTTTTTAAGCCGGCAGGGGGAAAATCGTTTCTAAATTGCTAATACAGGGGATGTAGAAATGTATCTTTGGAAAAGTAAACAAAGGGGATTTTTTTGTTAAAAAATTGTAAAAAATTCTGGTTAAATTTTTGGAAAAAAAACGGCTGCGTAATAATTAATTGTAAGATACTGGTTGAAAAGATATTATTTTTATTTTAGCATTACTGAGACAAAGAAAAACAATAATATAAATTTATTGAATTTAAGAAAAAATGTTAAAGCATGAAAGTGACAATTCTTTTGAATGTACATGAATGTATAATATTTGTGTCGGCAAAAAGGGCACTCTCAAAAAGTCGTACATCATGCCAAATGAATGCACTTCATCATATATATTAAAGCTGGTAAAGTAATATTTTCAACTTGATATTTTTATTTTATTCATATTCTGCTGATTTTTTTTAATCACCAACATAAAAACCAAGTAGTGAAACGCGTACACAAAAAAAATCATTTTTAACTGAATTCAAATTTCACGTTTTTTTTTTACTGTGCAAGTTGGTAGTCATTCTGGAGTAACAAGTCCTAACCAAATACGGATGCCGGGATGACACCTAACAAAAGTGATGTAATCTGAAGTAATGTTATATCGAAAATATGCCCCTGGTGATTTATGATATCACAGCCAAGTGCCGCTTGTAAATATAACATATGCACCCTGTTAATTAACATGTTACTGCCGAATGGCGCTTATATATAGAATTCTATTTACTTATAAAATAAGTATTTTATTTTCATAATTATAAGAATATAATTGTAATATCAAAATCATCTTATTATCGTCTGTTGCGAATCTTAGCCACGTGGGTTTCGTTCATTCAGGAATGTATATAAAATTTTATCCTTCATTGGTTCTTCGAAAGAAAATATATGGTATTATGAATTTTATAAATGACAAAAAATCATACAGAAAACTAGAGAATGACCATTTAAATTTGTATAAGGTAATTTAACAGTGTATGGGTGTTGATAAAATATAAAAATTTGATTTAGTAACTAGCTTTTTGCCCTGGCATTAGAGAAAAGCTTATAGATATATTCAATTTGAAATTCCGTCGTTTTACCCATAGCGAAAATTAATCTTAATCTTTGTTTTTGCAAATAAAAAATTCTTAATATGAAATTTTTGTATGCATGAGTCAAATTGTTCATACTATAATCGTTATTAAACGATCAGTAATTACTATTAAACTTTCAATAAGCTAACATTCTAAGCTGTTTTGAAGAGTACAATCCCCCATTTACCCCAAACCGGTAAGGAAGAAATTTCCGACGTTATCGCTTAAATAAAAGGGTCTATAGAAACGGGGTTTGATAAATATGTTAATAACAAAAAAAGCTACTGTTTTATAACGTTTCCTCAGTAACATTTCAGTGACAAGTGCTGATTTATCGACAAGATTATCTACTGTTCAAACCAGTGCTAGAAAAATTTGTCATACACCTCATGTTAGCCAATCTGCGCGTTTTATATGACGTCATTCTCACGAACCTTTTATCAATCAATTGCGTTCTAAGCATGACGTCATTGTGCTGATATGAATAAGTTTATCTATTGTTTACACTGGTGCTAGAAAAATCTGTCATACACCCCATATAAGTCAAACTACGTGTTTTATATGACGTCATTCTCACGCTCATTTTATCCATCAATTGCGTTCTAAGCATGACGTCATTGTGCAGGTATGAATAAGTTTTATTTCATACTTCGCTACTATTAGAAGTGGTTAAGGTCGTTGACTTCAAACCACTTGCCCTATCACCGCTGTAGGTTCGAATCCCGAGAGCGACTTTGGATTATTTCATGTGATGAAGCTATCCGGCTAGCTTACAAAACGTCGGTGGTTCTACTTAGGTGCCGTTCATGCCTGAAATAATGCACGGAAGGGCACCTGAGGTCTTCCTCCACCAGTAAAGCTGGAACGTCGCCATATGACCTATACTTTGTCGATGTGACGTAAACCCAAATCAAACAAACAAAATTAGAACAAAAGTGCTAAATGGAAATATTAGTTTTTAATAATTTCTTTTCGAAATATCATTGATTTGTAATATGCAAGAAAATGAATTTAACACCAGCTGTCTTCCCAAACGGGAATATCTTGTTCTTGGTGGAAATTCGACAGGGCCTCGAGCTAGGTATTTCGGCCTGTAACGGCAATTGGTAAAGACCCTTCCCTTTACAGAAACAGATACTGACTGTTTCACCGTTCAGATATGTAACATTTTAACTGATTTAATTTAAAAACAAAGTCAAATTAATTTTCTCTTAATAGCAACAGGTACTCAGTCCAAAATAGTCATTAACAAAACTGCCGAGCCATGTTGCAGTGAAAAGTTATTAATCATCATTTATTATAAAGATAAAATTTCTACAAATACACGAATTAATTATACCACACAAAAGAAGATATGGTACATGTACACTTTACCTTTGCTTCATAGTTGTAGCTGTATACATTTTACGACTAAATAAAGCTATATGTTTCTTTAAGCTATATTCATAACAATAAACGTTCATACCATTCACCACACAAACGAGTCGATATAACATATAAATTGTTCACACATAATTTGATCAAAATATCTTTTTTTCAAAAAGAATTTAAGCAATTAAATTAAATCAATTATTGCGTAATTGTCATTTACATTTATTTCTAACACATCAGAATGGGATCACATTATTAAAATCTGTTTCCATTACCTATCCATGTAAAAAGAAACAGATAATAATAAAAAATATAAAAATAGTTATTTACATAGACGACGCACCTATTGGTACATATTAAAAAAAAAAAACACTAATTCTTAAATTCAAATAATTTATTCTCATTTTTACAGATATATCTTTGTGGACGATCAATGGAGAAACAGTAATTGGTGTATTACTGCCGGAGTTTTGTCTACAATTTCATCTGAAGCCAGCGTCCTCTTTCTTTGCTTGATTACATTGGATAGACTTTTAGTGATCAAGTTTCCGTTTGGCACAGTGCGGTTTGGACCTATGAAGGCCTATATCTCTTGTGGATTGTGCTGGTTCATTTCCATCATCCTATCGGTCATCCCAATTCTTTACACAAGTCACTTCCAAAACAAATTCTACTCTAGAACAGGGGTTTGTATTGCATTGCCTTTAACACGAGATAAACCTCCAGGGTGGATTTATTCTGTGTCAATCTTTGTGGGCCTGAATTTTTGTACTCTCATTCTTGTTGCTATAGGACAAATCTCAATATTCATAGAACTTCGACGATCATCATCGGTGATGAAGAAGACACAAATGTCAAGAAGACGTGACTTGAAAGTTGCTAGAAATCTTATACTCGTTGCAACAACTGATTTCCTGTGTTGGTTTCCGATAGGTGTGATGGGTAAGATCACGCATACATATGGTATATGTGTTTGAATGTTCTGCATTAGGATTCATTAATTAAACTGGATTACACACGTCTTACTTCAACGATATTGCACGATTTATATGTAACACCTAATGTAAAAGCATTATATTTTTCTTTTTAATCGTAAGGATATGACTTTTCCATTTTCTAGTACACGTTTTTTCGAAATATATACATAAACATGATTTATATATTATTTTTATAAAAACTTTAAAAAACCAAAATAAATGCGCTGTTGAATCTAATATAACAGTGTCAAAAAACTGCTTTTCCTTTTTTCAGGTATTTTAGCCTTGAACGGATTTCCGATTCCTATTGATGTTTATGCATGGTCAGTTGTTTTCATTTTACCAATAAACTCTGCTCTTAACCCGTTCTTGTATACAGTGACAGCAATAGTCGGGAAGAAGGTAAAACAATGGGTTGTTTTAATCCTAATTGATTTATTGGATATCAGAAAGGATTGTTTACTGTTAAAACTTGTGCTAGAAAAAAAACGCTTGTCTCACACCCCTACTCATTTAAGACAAGTCGTGTGTTCTAAATGACGTATCCCGAGCGTCATGTATAAATGAATTGCGTTTTATTCATGGCGCCATATTGCCGTCTGAAGTTCATCCGCTTCTCACCGAAAAAGGGCTAAATGGAAATATTAGCTTTTGATTTTTTTTCTTTTCGAGATAATAATTTATATCAAATAAGCACGAAAAATAATCAAACACCGACTGTCGTAACTAAAGGGAAATATTTGCTTTCGAGTTACAACTGTTCAGCGGAAACCAAGCATCGTAAACAGGTATCCTCGAGCTAAATGTTCCCGTAAGTATGTAAGATTCTAATAACCTATTCATGATATAAGAAATTCGTTATGATGGTAATTTATTATGCCTTAAATTTATTAAATATTGAGGACAAAGACTTTGGTTTGAATCACAGTACCATTTGTGTATCTAACATATAGAAAAGCCTCTGGCGAGTGTATTATTATTTTTAAAGTCAATAAAATCAGTAATGAACATACACGAGTATACTATCTTATCACATACCTAAAATACAGACTGTTTAAAGTGAAAAAGGAAAACTTTTCATTGACGCGCCTAAAGTGTAACGCTAACATTTTGCGCGTCTTAACGCAATGTTTGTGAAATGTTAATGATGTCACATCAAAATATATACACGATTGTGCAATACCGTGTTTGCGTAGTCGCAAAAGTGGCATGGGTATTTGAAAATAGCAATAAAGAATTTGTGAGATAATAAGCCAATAAGTTATGTTGGTAAAAGTGTCACAAAATGAAAACAGTTTAATCATTAAATTTTTCAATCGTCTCGTACATTATATAACGAAACACGGTATTAAGTGTGCTGCAGCACATGGAATAAAAATGTCGAAAGAAACACATGTATTGATATGATACCTATGTCGAACGAATTTGGTTAAATCTTAATTAAATATACCTGTTATTTACTATATCTGTAACTTGTATCATAGTTTGGGGACCTTTCTGTTGAAAATGTGTCCGAGTTAAATCGTATTATATTAGGTAAACATGCACAGTGGGTTAACTGGAGTACATGTATTAGTTACCCACACAGCGGAGCATGCCCATAGATTGGTTAATTTTTCCTGGGGTTTACTATTTTTTCAGCAGAGAAAGGAAAAGCGACAGAAATATTATATTCAGACTCGTTAATTGGTAACTGTTTTCCGGGGTTTCATATTGCGACAACAGGGATTGTGTTTTTTATGTTTTACTATGATACAAAGGAGAAAGAACATCAACACACTGGGCAATCTGATTAACACTCGGGGGCTGTGCCCCCTCGAACAAAACAGATAGCTTCGTGTTTCGATGCTCTTTCTATTACTAAATACAGTCTCACTTTTCAATGCGACCACGTGCATTTAGCGACTTTAGTCTTATGCGACCTTTTTAAATTCTCACCGATCATTTTATCAAACTAATGTATAATTAAATGATTATTGTAATTCATTATATCAGTATTGAAGTTTTAGACTTTAAATATAATACTATTCATAGTGATAGTAGTGTTCTATGGAGTACGGACGTTAAAGGTATAATGTTTTTGCAGTTGAGCAACAGTATTATTTGAAATCAGTGCTTCACTTTGTATTTTAGAGTTTCAATCCAAGTCTTGATGAGCAGAGTCGAACAGCGGTCCAGAAAGGTAAATACTTACTTGCAATCAGATTCACTTCTATAATTCTTTTATTGTTTTTTTCTGGGACGATTTTTTTTAACTTCCATATATCCTACGTAATATCAAGACAATATGCAATATAAAGGTAAACGGTTTAAACAGCTGACAAGGAGCGACGTAGGATGTAGGACTGTGACCATTTAATCTGATCTTAGGAGAACAACAGACTGTTGTTCAAACTGTTTGAAATGCAAAGAACCAGTTAAAATATAATGCTTGTATAGATGACGTGATTTACAGAAGTTTCCGGCACAAATAAGATTCAATAATGTATAGATCAATACAACGTGTAATTTTTTTTCAGAAATTGGCACCGCCATTTTAGAATATCAGCAATTTAGCAGATCTGTGCGGATGATAAGTGAACTTGTACCAGTCGGGACGAAACGTAGTATTCAAGAAATTCTTGATGATGACAGTTGCTTGTCAGTCAATATTGTTGCGGCTCTGTGCAAAGAACTTGCCGATTATCTACGTCTGTTGCATGAGAATTATATTGCTATAGATCAGATATGTGAGAAAAACATTTACATTCAAGTGTATAAAACAAAGGTAACTACACAGTTTTTATAAACAATTTCAATTCCATTTTTTTCTGCAATAACACTAAATATGCATTATTTACAAAAATATTAACAAATTAGATATGCAAAAATATAAAGAAAGTGGTCACTGTGAAGCTTAGGTTTTGACAAAAACACAAAACAATAATAATACATAGAGGACAACAATATAGATTTATGTTTTTAAATTGATAATTATATTGCTTGTATATTGTATGCCAGTTTTTTTTTATTTTAAAATATTTGAGAATAAATATTTAGTATCGTTTGATTGAAAAAAAAATACAATCGTTTAAACCCAGGAAGAACCATTGATATTGTCTACCGCACTACTTCTTTTCAAATTCCATACAGTAAAACTCAGTTATTGAAATAGTGTAATTGATAATTACGTGAAGTATGCCTTATAACGTTCCTACATGTTAAAATCATTGCAGAAATCCTTGCTTGGTGTAAAGTAAAATTATTGTAATGTTTATAAATTTAAAAAAGAATAGTCATTAGTTATATTAAAAACATCCCTTTAAATCCTCAATCTTTTACCTCATATCCTTTTAACATTATTCATTTTAACGCACAGCTTCCATGGTTTAATAAGTAACAATGTCCCCTTCTGTCAATAGGTACACAAACCAATTGTTGTTATCGATGCCAAAGCGTCACTAGCTGCCGATGAAAAAGCTCTACAGGAAAATATACGCCAATTTGGTAACATTCTTCGAAAACTTATTTTAAAATGTGAAAAGGGTTTAAAGAAATGATGTGTATGCAATGAATACAAGTCATCTCTATTACGAGGTTTATGATCTTAGTAATATACGTGAATGAGACAAAAATAAGTGCTGGCGCACCATTATATAACCCGTATTCGGTATATATTTGTGAACATGAACTCTGAAATCGTCTAGAGATACTGTGCTTCAACACTGTATAGTTAAATCAAAAATGCGTTGCATTGGTACAGGATGACGTGAATAGGAAATTGAAAATACTTGACTTGTTATTTTCCCGTGTAGATATTTTGAATTTCAAGTGGTGTAACGTCTTTTTGTTGTTTTTTTTTTGTACAAAACGTTCATTGTACCTTCATTATGTCATTAATCTTTCATATTTTGTCAAATCATAATCGCATCAACTCGGTTTTTATTTAAGATAATCTCGGACTAAATACGGATTTTAAATACACAAATGTATTTCTATCACATGGTTTAAGGTATTATAAAAACAGAGGGTGCAATCTGTAATAATGTGTCACAAATGTTTATATTTAACATCAAAAGAAATATAAATTATATTTAGGTAAAATAATGATTGAAAATATTTCTTACCTTCATAATCAAATACAAAATGCCAACTGATGACCAAATCAAAATTTATGTCAAAGGTCTTTACAGCCATCATAATAAGGTAATAAATAATGTACTGCTTACTTGTATATATATGAATAAACTTACTTTAGGTGAACTTCTGCTCGATATATTTGAAAAAAAAAATCAAAATTCTTAGCATGAAATTACTATTCATTTACATGTTTGGTTACTTAGCGTAGGTTAGACCAAAAAACCTTATCCGTTCTGTGTATTCTTACTAATGTGTTCGAGATTCTTATCAGAAGTCTGATTAAAAGGGCCTAGAAGTTGCGATTGTGTCAAATCATTGTTGTTTTCATGTTGGTAAATTAAATGCGTTTGGTCTGCTATTGGTTGTTGTTATTTTGTCAATTAAAATAGAATTTTTACTTATTCAATATTCATAAAATCGTTAAAGAATCAATGAACATGGGATTTGTCACCGCTGTAAAAAGATATTCATTAAATGTTGTTTTTGTTTTCGACGATGTTTTAAACTTTTAATCAGTGTTTTTCAATAACTGTGTGACTGATGTTGTTAAAATTTAATCATTTGGTATTTTATTAATATTATTAAACTAATTATGTAAAATGTTGTAATCACAGTATCAATGTTGTTTACAGTGATAGAATTGTGTATCTTACCGCTGTGTTTGGGGTTATTATCCGACATTTGAAAGGTGCAATTGTATCAAATCATTGTTTTACATGTTCTTAGTAGAGTTGTATCTGTTGTTGTATATGAATTATTTGTCAGAGTGGTAGTTATTGTGGTAAAGATTACAATCCTGGCAACATTGGTTCGAGTCCTACTCAGGTGATTTCAATGTATCCCTTGTGACACCAGCACAAGTTAGTGAGTTCAAGGAGGATAATTCGAAAGCTTCAAGGAAGAACCGTTTCCTTATGTTGTAAGAAATTGTGGTTCAACCCTTTTGCTATATTGTGTTTATATTATGAGAACATAATGTTATAAATGTGTAAAAAAGGAGAATAAATATGTTTAAATCAAATTCGAAAGCTGACGCAGAATGAGCTTTATAAACATAATGAGGAAAATATCCGATAATTATGAAACTTTCCTGGGAAAGTAATTTCGTAATGTGAAAAGGATTATTTGTGTACACACAAATTTACAAAACAAAATGTAGATTTATAAACACATATATTGGTTATATATATCATAAATACATGTGGTGTTTTGGTGTTTCTTTCATTGTCAACATCTTTATATATATATATATATATACATTCAAGTTATTGTCAAGATATTATTGATATTTTACTCAGTGTCTAATCATATTTTTGATGTTTGTGGATAAAACGCATTTACTGCTGTTTCTTTTGTGTGCTATAGTTTATTATAAACAATTTTAACTTTATATGTTTAGATTATAGATATTGTTGCTTTCATAGATATTCGTTATTGTAGCTTTTAGTGTTATAAATTGTTATAAATAAGCTTTTTTCTAGATGTGTTTTTTAGTAATTTGTCATTCTGATTACAGTTTAAAATGGAAAACGTACTTTTATGGACATTCTTTAAAGGCCCAGTATGCCTCACAAATGCTTTAATTTTTTTATTTCACAAAAGCCTTTTAATGTTGGTGCACTTTAATAAAAGTATCTCAAAGTTACTCATTAGCCAATTATATGAACCATTTTTGTCATCTGTTGCTTGTTGGCAGTGAGCACAGTTAGAGTAAATAAGTTTCTTGTGTTGAAGTAAAAATTCTGCTATGTTTACATTTGGTACTTTTATGACAAATTATTTCACGTTTATGGCAAATATTCTCTGAAACCATTATCTAAATAACATTAAATTCATTTTTGCCCTTTCTAAAGAATAAAATAAATTGTTTCTTTGGCATAATGTGCCTTAAATAAAGTTTATCGATTTAATACTGCATAATGAAAAGCACAGCATGTTAAATAATGAATTTAAAGACGTTTTACTCTACACTATCTGATATAGGAAGAGAACAATAAATTCGAATAGTGGTAAGACTGATTGCAGCAGCTCCTTTGCTTGAGAGTTTTAATCCATGACTCTATTTGCTTTTGTTTTGTTCACAACAGCGAATGTTGTGAATGGGGAGATCGGGTATATGTCTCCGGTCTTTTCAATTTTTTTTATTTCAAGGCGATTGAGTGTATTTTGCATTTGTGCAAATAGGGTAGGCGTTGCAATAAGGATATTTTTTCGCATCTTTCTTTTGGAATAATAATTATCTTGATATAACAGTTGGGACAGAATTTTATATTATTTTTTTAATGTCAGATATTAATATTAGTTTTTAATAACGTGTCTTATAGTGTTTTAACCGGAGTTCAAAGTCCCGTGTGTTGTATCTTTCAGTCAAAAATTAACATAACACATAAATTTATTAATAATTCAAGACCGTTGATTGAGACAGACCCAGACAGTAATTATAGTAAAATACATGTAGTTCTTGAAAGGCACAGAAATCAAAAAAGTGTAATTAAAGATTAAAGAGTGTTTAATAATGGATTGATAATAGATTCAGAGCATATTAGATGTTAAAGAACTTTAAAAAGTAGCGTTAAACGTGCAGTAATATTCCGAAAATATAGCAGAATACAAACAAAGTAGTATTCTGACTTCTGTAAAGAAATGTTATTCACTATAATTGTATAGATTACCAAAAAAACAAGTTTTTGAAATTGTAAAAAAAATATCCTTATATAAAATGTTTTTGAGAGAAAAAAAAGGATAGTTTTTCGGACAAATGGACCTTTTTTTGTATTGGTATGAACAACAGATATCCAACGGGAAATCTTCGCACCCGAATACAATTATATGTTAATTTCTTCTGGGGTTAATAATTGTGAAAAAATATGGTGGTTTAACTTGAACCGTATCGTGACCGTAAAATTAATTTTATAGAAACAATACAAAACCGGTGCGATAAAATCTTAACTCAAGAGTTTCTTGGTAACCATGTTTACACAAACTAAGTTAAAAATACATATACAAAACAAACTGTAGTTATATCATGTGTATTGCTATGAATCTATGTAGTCTTTTTAGTGTATTAAATATTGTACGCAAACTGCCTTTGTTATGTTTTGCTTGAAACTGTCACCAGCCGTTTTATATACGGCTTGAAATCATCAACTGGGTATGAATAAAATAATTTATCAGCATTTATATACATATAGATATACAAAGTGTGTTCAAATATGAATGCAACTAGGCCAATAATTCGCTTTTAACCACGTCTTGCACAAACTATATGTACATGTATCGCATAGATGGCTGTGCAAGCTCTCACTTGAGACTTATACATGTGTAACTCAGTTCAGTCTAGCTGTGACAAAAACACTATCTACTCGTGTACACTAAAGCAAAAATGGTTGGAAATGGTCTCCTTTCACCGACCAAATACGGTCCTATATCTAGAACAGCTTTATTCTTGGTATACAGGCGATAGACATATTTATATATTTTATATGAAATTTGTCGTGCTTATAGGAACAACGAACTTTTTTTCATCTGTCACACACTGGTGTAAGAAATTTAAAAGTGATATGGATGCAGTAAAAGATGCACCTCATGCAACTTTTCAAAAAATGGTTATAAAAGTAAAAGATCTGATAGCTACTGATGTAAGATTTACAACTAGGTAAGAATCTCCGAACAGTTGTTAAAACAGTTACCTAAATACAACAATCGTCCTCAAAGACCTTGCATAGCAGAACGTACCATGATCGTCAGAAAGGTCATGTGTGTAATTTTCTTTACCAGTCAAGGTCATGTCATTCAATTTGTCATACCAAAGGGTAAATCTGAAAATGCCAAGTTTTACAACGGCAAAGTCCTTCATAAATAAAAGAAATATTCTAACAACAGTGCCATAATGGCCCTTGATCTCTCATCTGACCCATCGAACTCATCGGAACAATTACCTAGACAAGCATTCTGACCAAGTTTCATGACAGTCAAAAATGTGACAACTAGAGTGTTAACAAGGATTATCCATATTTGAGCAGTATGACCTAGCTTTTACCCAGGGGACCCATATTCCAACTTACCTAGAAATCATCAAAACAAACTGTCAGACCAATTTCCAGGATACTTTATTCCAGGATAAAAACAGTAGCCACTAGAGTGTTAAAAATATTTTTTTTTTATTTTTAGCTCCGGTGACCTTATTTTTCATGCGAGACGACCTATGTTCAAACTCATCTAAGCAAATACATTGAAAAGCATTCTGACCAAGTTTGATGATAATTGAATCAAAATTGTGACCACTTGAGTGTTAATAAGGTTTTTCCATATTTGGGCGGTGTGGCCTAGTTTTTCAACTGAGATGACCCATGTTCGAACTTGACCTAGAAATCATCAAAACAAACTTTCAGACCAATTTACAGGATATTTGGATCAAAACAAAAGCCACTAAAGTGTTAATGAGATTTTTCTATTTTTAGCTCAGGTGACCTAGATTTTTTATCCGAGATGACCAATGTTCGAAGTTATCCATGCAATGACCTAGACAAACATCCTGATCAAGTTTGATGACAATTGAGGAGTCAAAAATGTAACCAATAGAATGTTAACAAGGTTTTTACATATTTGGGCAGTGTGACCTAGTTTTTCTTCCGAGATGACCCATTATAGAACTTGACCTAGATATAATCAAAACAAACTTTTAGACCAATTTAAAGGATATTTGGTTCAAACAGTAGCCACTAGAGTGTAAACATTTTTTTTTCTATTTTTAGCTCCTGTTACCTCGTTTTTAATCGAAATATGTCAGAGCTAATTTGAGCTAACACCTAGACCAGCAGCCTGACAAAGTTTGATGATGATTGAGTCAAAAATGTGTTCACAAGGTTTTTCTATTTTTAGCTCCGGTGACCTAGTTTTTCATCCGGGATAACTCATGTTTAAACTCATCCGAGCTATCACCAAGACAAGCATCCTGACCAAGTTTGATGGTCAGTCAGCAAACATGTGACCGCTAGAGTGTTACCGGTATTTCTATTTTTTAGCTCCTGTGACCTAGTTTTTATCCGAGATAACCCATGTTCCAATTTATTCGAGCTATCACATAGAAAAGCATCCTGACAAAGTTTGATGATGATTGAGGCAAACATGAGACCGCCAAAGTGTTAACAAGGTTATTCTTTTTTTTAGCTTCGGTGACCTAGCTTTTCATCCAAGATAACCCATGTTCGAACTCATCCGAGCTATCAACTAGATAAGCATCCTGACCAAAGTTGATGATGTTTTAGACATGAATTTGACCGCTACAGTGTTAACAATGTTTTTTTCTATTTTAAGCTCCGGTTACCTATTTGTTTTTATCCGGGATGACCCATGTTCAAACTCATCCGAGCTATCACCTAGATAAGCATCCTTAACAAGTTTGATGATGATTCAGGCAAAAATATGACCGGTAGAGTGTTAACAATGTTTTCCTATTTTTAGCTCCGGTGACCTCGTTTTTCATCCCTGATGACCCATTTTCGAGCTCATCTGAGCTACCACCTAGACAAGCATCCTGAGAAAAGTTGATGCTTGAGGCAAAAATTTTGCCGCTAGATTGTTAACAAGTTTTTTCTATTTTTTAACTCATGTGACCTAGTTTTTCATCCGATGTGACCCATGTTCGAACTCATCCGAGTTTTCAACTAGATAAGCATCCTGACAAAGTGTGATGATGATTGAGGCAACAATGTGACCGCTAGAGTGTTAACGAACAAGTGTGGATGGAAAACGGACGACAGACGACGGACATTCAACGGTCCTAAAAAATCCGGCGACCAGCAACTGGTCTCGGTGTCGTTGCATGGCAATGCTACATCACACAGAGCGGTGATTGTACGAACATATCTGAAACAGGAAAAGGTTGTCGAGCTTCCACAACGTTCTTTTTTGCCAGATCTTTTCTCTTGTAACTTTTCAATATTTCCGGAGCTCAAAAATCACTTTGACGGAAGAAAATATCAAACACAAAAAAATCTCAGCTGTCTATAAAACTGTTGAAGTTAGAAATGTAAGTCGTGCACCGCTGTCTATAAAACTGATCAAGTAAGAAATGTAAGTCGTGAACAGCTGTCTATAACACTATTGAAGTAAGAAATATAAGACATGCACAGCTGTCTATTAAACTGTTATAGTAAGAAATGTCCACACACTTGTCTATAACAGTGGTGAAGTAAGAAATGTAATTCATGCACATCTGTCTATAAAACTTTTGAAAAAAGAAATGTGAGTCGTGTGCAGCTGTCTTTACAACTGTTGAAGTAAAAAATGTTCGTCGTGCAAAGCTGCCTATAAGACTTTTGAAGTTTGAAATGTAAGTCGTGCACCGCTGCCTATAAGACTTTTGAAGTTTGAAATGTAAGTCGTGCACCGCTGTCTATAAAACTGTTGAAGTAAGAAATGTATGTCGTGCACAGCTGTCTATAAAACTGTTGAAGTAAGAAATATAAGTCGTGCACATCTGTCTATAAAACTGTTGAAGTAAGAAATGTCAGTCGTGTGCAGCTGTTTATAAATCTGTTGATGTAAGAAATGCAAGTCGTGCACAGCTGTCTATAAAACTGATGAAGTTTGAAATGTAAGTCGTGCACCGCTGTCTATAAAACTGATGAAGTAAGAAATATAAGTCGCGCACAGCTGTCTATAACACTGTTGAAGTAAAAAATGTAAGTCATGCACAGCTGTCTATAACACTGTTGAAGTAAGACATATAAGTCGTGCACTGCTGTCTATTAAATTGTTATAGTAAGAAATGTAAGTCCTCCCAGCTGTCTTTAACACTGTTGAAGTAAGAAATGTAAGTCGTGCACAGCTGTCTATAAAACTGTTGAAGGAAAAATTGTAAGTCGTGCACAGCAGTCTATAAAACTGATGAAGTTTGAAATGTATGTCGTGCACGGCTGTCTATAAAACTGATGAAGTAAGAAATGTAAGTCGTGCACAGCTGTCTATAACACTGTTGATATAAGTTGTGCACAGATGTCTATAATACTGTTGAAGTAAGACATATAAGTCGTTCACAGCTGTCTATTAAATTGTTATAGTAAGAAATGTCAGTCCTCACAGCTGTCTTTAACACTGTTGAAGTAAGAAAAATAAGACATGCACAGCTGTCTATTAAACTGTTATAGTAAGAAATGTACGTCCATACAGCTGTCTATAACACTGGTGAAGTAAGAAATGTAAATCCTGCACAGCTGTCTATAACACTTTTGAAGGAAAAAATGTAAGTCGTTGACAACTGTCTATAAAACTGTTGAAGTATGAAATGTAAGTCGTGCTCAGCTGTCTATAACACTGTTGAAGAAAAACTTGTAAGTCGTGCACAGCGGTCTATTAAACTGTTATAGTAAGAAATGTAAATCGTGGACAGCTGCGTATAAAAATGTTGAAGTAAGAAATGTAAGTCATGCACAGCTGTCTATAATACTCTTGAAGGAAAACTTGTAAGTCGGGCACAGCTGTCTATTAAAAACTGATGAAGTTTGAAATATAAGTCGTGCACCGCGATCTAAAAAACTGTTGACGTAAGAAATGTAAGTCGTGCACAGCTGTCTATAAAACTGTTGAAGTAAAGAAATG